TCTGGGAGACAATAGATTGTTGCCTCATGATATTTTATCCATTTTCCCATTCTATGTCTTTTCAGTGGTGCATTTAGTCCATTCACATTCAGGCTACTATCGAGATGTGAGAGCTTATCCCTGTCATGAGACTTTTGTTGTTGCTGCTGTTTGTTTGTTGTCTTTCTTTTGATTATGGGGTTGATTCATGTATGTTTTCAATCTTTTTCCTGCATTCTTGGGAAGGGTGATGTCATTCTTTTTTTTCCTTTCTTCTGTGTTTAATACTTTCTTAAGTGTTTCTTTTAGAGCTGGTCTAGAGGCAGTGTAAGCTCTTAGGGATTGAATGTCTGGGAAAGATTTTAATTCTCCATCATTGATGAAGCTTAGCTTAGTGGGGTAGGTAATTCTTGGTTGAAATTGTTTGTTTTTGAGAACTTTGAAGATTGGGCTCTGAGCTCTCTTAGTTCGAAGTGTTTCTGTAGATAAGTTTGCTGCTATTCTTTTTCTTTTCTTTTTTAAGGTGGGAAAGCAGAATTTATTGAGAGGACAGAAAAGCTCCCAAAGTGGGAGGGGACCTTAGGGACTTGCCAGTCTGCTGCTATCCTAATTGGTCTTCCCTGGTAGGTAGTCTGACCTTCTTCGCTTGCTGCCTATAGGACTTTTTCTTTTATACCTTCTTTGTGTAGGTGAATTACTTTGTATCTAGGAGTTGGTCTTCTCACTTGTTGTCTCAATTCAGGGGTTCTCAGAATCTCTTGTGTTTGAATGAATGGTCACATCACTAATGAGGTGAGGGATGTTTTCCTGGATAATTTCATGGGATGTTTGTTCCAGAGTAGTCTCGGTCTCTCAATCTGCCTCAGGAATTCCAATTAATCTTAGGTTCGGCCTCTTGAAATAATCGTTCATCTCTCAAAGGTTTTGTTCTGTCTTTTTAAGCTTCTTTTCCATGTTTTTAGCAGTTTGGGTTAGTTCCATATTTTGGTCCTCAAGCTCTGAGATTCTTTCTTCTGCTTGACTAAGTCTGCTTTCCATGCTTATCAGTTTGTTATTTATTTCATTCACTGTTTTCTTTATTGCTGTTATCTCAGTTATCAAATCATTCTTTCTTCTTGTCTCTCCTCAATTCTATTTATTATCTCGATTAATGTCTTGATATCTGGGTTTGTGGTTTGAGACCAGTCATTCTGGGGGCTCTTCATTGTCTGTATTCTCAGTGTTTGACATCCCAGGGTCTGTGTGAAACCCATATTCTTCTTTTGTTTTTTCTTCTTTGTGTAGATTTTTCTCCCCCTTTTTTTTTTTTTTTTTTTTTTTTTTTTTGCCTCTTCTTTGATTCTGTTGTTCAGGGATGTGGCGGGGGGTAGCTTTTACTTCTGTTTGCTTAATCTTCTATTCTTCCTTATATGGTCTTCTGGCTTTCTTCAATTCTGAAGCTGGACTTTGGGTGGGAGGTTGTATTTTTTGCAGTTTTGAGATTTAATTGAAGGGGAGCTGTGATTCAGAAACCATCTGCAGATCCCAGTATCTGCTAACAAGTGTGTGGGCCCCCCAGAACCCACTTTCCCCTGCCTAACAATCTGTCCATGCAGTGGGGATATAAGTTTGCCCCCTGAAAGCAAAATGAGGTAAGAAAAAGGAAAAGAATGGAAAAAGAAAGAAGGGAGATGAAAGGAAGGTGGAGAAAGAGAAGAATAAGAGGAAAACAGACAGGCATACCAACTAACATGAAAAGAGGCACAAACAAAGACAGAAAAGATTTTTTAAAAATACAATCATACAAACACACAAACCAACAACACTCTCCCATTGGTGTACTCTCCCTCAAAAATACCCATACACAAACAGGAAGTCTAAAAAAAAAATAGCAGAAACAAAGCAAGTATGAAAATGTAATCAAAAACAGAAAGAAAGAGAGAAGAGGAAAAGAAGAAAAACTAAAGTAAAACATACAAACCCAAGCAGAACAACAACAACAACAAATTCACTTTGAGACAGTTCCCGTAGCTTCAACTTCCTTTCAGCTCTGGTCTCCAGCCCCTCTCCTATCCTCTCAGTGCAGGCTGATAGGGTTGCTCTCAGCATGGGTCTGATGCCCCACGGACTATTGTGGGAGGAAAGTGGATCAGATCTGTACTCAACTGGCTTGCCGCCGTTTTGTTGTCTTCCACGCAGATCTGATGTGCCTGTGCCTGTTCCAGCGTGGGGGAGGGACGTCTGTCTCTCCAAGTTTGATGAGATAACCTCCAGGTCCCAGGTTGGAGGCTGGGTGGAGCTAGGCAGGGCAATGCAGATCTCTGCCTGACCTGGGGACAGAGAAAATAGCTCTGACCAGTGTTTCCTCACAGGTAGTGGGGCTACTCTCCAGCTCTCCACTACTGCTCTCTCTGTGGATGCCAGTCTCCAGCAGCTTTGCTGTCACAACTGATGGTGTGGGCTGGGCTCCAGGTGATAAGAATCAGCTGCATTCAGCAGGCTTTTCTCAGGAGATCCCTGAGAACAGCCAGCATCCTGCACACCAGCAGTTCCAATCTCAAGGCGGTGGGGGGGTTGCAGTCACCTACAGAGGAGACCCCCAGGTGCATGAACCTGAGTCTCCCCTTAGATGGACTTTCACTCACCCACTGGTACACACCCACTCACACAGAAAGGTTTTATGGACACTCGTTTCTGCGAAACCTCTCACAGTCTGACCTTTCCTGTCGCCGCCTTGCTGGAAATCCTCTTCCATATCTAGTCTTTCACCAAATTTTGTTGCTTCTGCCTCTTTTTATTTATTTATTTATTTTTGAGTTGGAGTCTCACTCTGTTGTTCAGGCTGGAGTGCAATGGCATGCTCATGGCCACCGCAGTCTCAACCTGCTGGGCTCAGGTGATCCTTCCGCTTCAGCCTTCCAAGTAGCTGGAACTACAGGCACGCACCACCACACCTGGCTAATTTTTTGATTTATTGTAGAGATGAGGTCTCACCAAGTTGTCCAGGCTGATCTCAAACCCATGGGCTCAAGCAATCCTCTCACCTCAGCCTCCCAAAGTGCTGGGATTATAGGTGTGAGCCACCGTGCCCGCCCCCCCCCACCTTTTTTTTTAAACACATGCCATTTATTGACAGGGCTCAGGCTGCAGGGACAGATGCAAAGGATTGCACAGAAGTTAGATTGGAAAATATAGTTTATTTAGAAAGTAAATAAAAGAGAGAAAGAGAGAGAGAGAGGCGATTCACCTCCCCGAAGTAGGAGAGGGGGCCAAAACAAAGAAAACCTGGCGGCCATCGCTCAAAAAACACATGGCCTGACCAGTGCTTAACAAAACAATGGCCATTGCTGTCATCTCCCTCCCCTCTCCCTCTCCCCCTCCCCCTCCTCCTCCTCCCCTCCCTCTCCCTCTCCTCCTCCTTCTCCCCCTACTCTTCCTTCTCCCCTCCGCTCCTCCTGAGTCAGAGTCTCACTCTATCACCCAGACTAGAGTGCAGTGGCACTGCTCATGGCCACCACAGCCTCAACCTGCTGGGCTCAGGCAATCCTTACACCTCAGCTTTTCAAGTAGCTGGAACTAATTTTTTGATTTATTGTAGAGACAAATTCTCACCGAGTTGCCCAGGCTGGTCTTCAACCCCTGGGCTCAGGCATTCCTCTCACCTGTGCCTCCCAAATTACTAGGATTACAGTCTTGAGCCACCATGAGCAGCCATAACTTTTGGCTTCTTAATAGCTTCACACCTATCCCTGTATTTCTAGCTTTATGGCAACCCCAAACCCAGTTCAAACAACTCCCTGAAAAGTTGAAAATGCTCCCTTTAATCCAGACACCCTAGAGATGGCTTGAGGTCATAAACAACTCAAATCATCCCTAAGAATGTTACAGCACTTCCTCTTGCTCATATTTCTACAGAATAATTTTACCAAACAGGCTTTGGGCAGTGAGTCTGCTACACAAGGAAGCTTAGAGGATCTTGTCTGCCCCAAAGATGCCAACCACCATCCAACAAATGCCAGATATCCTCCTACATCAGCATGAGGAGAGAAGACCCCACTGGCACTTGCTTTTTGGGGGTTTTTTGTCTTATATTTTTACAGTCACCAGCTTTCAAACTCCACCATAATCCATAGCCAGACATTTCACCTCCTTTTCTTTCCACACCAGGCCCTCCCTCCATTCTTCTACTTTCTCTGACCTCTGACCCATGAAACCTTTCTCCAAATAGCCCACATAGCCTGCTTTCTAGGGAGCCTAGGTCAGGCTACTTAATACAGAGGTGTTTTTCTCAGACCTTAATTGATATCATCCAATCAAGGACAAAAGTTAATTCCTCATGCAAAGCAAAACAAAACCAAGAATTACATCACCAAAATGCAAACTTCTCAGAGGAGTTATTTCTGCTTTTAACATCGTCACTCAGGCCTGGTGTGCAGAAGACAAACCACAGTGGTATGCTCTAAATGAGACAGTAAGGAGAAGCCCTGACACTTTCACTGGTCAATGAATAAAACGATGGCATCTGATCTTGCCAGTGACTTTTTAGTGTGTTGCCAGTTTCACATCCCCAGCTTTCAGTGTTACTACTGCAAACTCTTTGAAGTCAAGGACTGTGTCTTCAACTTCATTGTGCCTTCCTCTCAGTAGCTCTCAGATGGCTTGGTCCAGGCATTGCCTGGTGATGGTGTGGTTTGTAAACCCTGCCAACAACTCATGAACTCGTGCACAGGGTTCTTGTTCCCAGGGCTTCATGGGAAGAAGCAGAAGGCTTCCATCGCTATTGCCAGCCCCACCATTCCCTTAGCTCCCAAAATGTTTCCCTAGAATTTGGAGACCTTTTTAAAAAAAATACTATAATATAGTTTTATGAAAAATATAAATAAAATTGAAAATGTGGTGAAGACAACAATATCTGAAAGGGAAGTAAACAAGAAATGGAGAGATTCTTCCTTATACATGAAGTCAGATAACAACAAGGAAGTGGTCATGTGTCTTCCCTCTCCTCTCCCCAGAGTTGGTATATAAGGGCCTCTCCCCAGCAGAAGGAGACACTGGACCTCCCTCACCTCTCCTGAGTCCTCTCTCCTCACTTCACCTGAGTCCTCTCTACTGACACCATGGGTTGCTGTGGTTGTGGTGGCTGTGGTGGTGGCTGCGGTTGTGGTGGCTGTGGCAGCTGCACCAGTTGCAGGTGCTACCGGGTGGGCTGCTGCTCCAGCTGCTGCCCCTGCTGCCGCGGCTGCTGTGGGGGCTGCTGCAGCACGCCCGTGGTCTGCTGCTGCCGTCGCACCTGTGGCTGTGGCTCATGTGGCTGTGGCTGTGGGAAGGGCTGTTGCCAGCAGAAGTGTTGCTGCCAGAAGAAGTGCTGCTGTTAGGCGGCTGCCTGGCCTCTGGGCGGGGGCTGCAGTTAACTGCTGTAGGTAAGCTTTCTGCTTTCTGTCTGCCCCCCTCTGACTTGTAGGTCACAAGCATGACCTGAGACTATGGCCAACCCACAGAAATCTCACCGTTCTGTAGTTTTGTGATCCTGCCTGCGTTTAATAATCACCAAGCAAGGTAATAAACATGCAGCCTTCTCTATCAATGGTCATTCAAGTCATGCTCTCCACTAAATGCAATCAATATAGTTGATGTTATGCCTTCTTAAAATGCCTCTTTGTCTTTATTGTGTCTTGTTTATGCCAGTGTATTGGCATATCTGTACATACAAAGCAGTACTTACCTTAATAAAGTATACTAAATCACCCTCAAAGAGCTGTCTCTTTTTCTCTTTCCAGTCTCTAAATTGTCTGTCCATGGGGGAAAGTGAGTTTTATTCCAACAGGCAAGTCAAAGAATCAAAAACTAGACAAATTGTTTGCAATAGACACAGATATATTAATGGATGATAAATGCATTGTGGGTTTATTAGGAAGGAAGGGACTGGAGTGCACATCCTCAACCTGTGTACTTCAATGTCACAAACCAAAACTTTCCCCAAATCTCTCTTGATATTTATGCAGAAGTGCATAAATAACTTTTCAGACCCCCAAAAGTCATACACTCACTTAGGATCACACTTTTGAAGCTCGTCATTTGTGAGCGGTCACTTTTTGACAGCTCCTAGATTCCTTTCCTACTATATGTTGATCTTTGTTGTCATAGCCTCATTGTTGATAATGACTCTAAAAGGCAACATAAACGGAGGCCTTGGGTCTTGTAGAACTTTTGGCCCATTAGCTCTATAGCCCATGTGTTTTCCATTCAGTCACCACTACTTCCTATGCATCTTTGCCCTCCAACTCTACTCCTCCATATTCAAACAATGAAACCCAGCTCTAGTCATGGAAATTCTTTTATCAACCACTCCAATCTACAAAATTAGCTTTCTGTTGTAATGTGAGAAGATCAACATTAGAATCAAAATAATTATATCCCCCAAAAAGAATGTCCACATATACAATAAAAAATTTCCCCAAACAGCCCTTTTGCTAATTTCCTGTAGTGCTCCCTGATCCTGTTTTGTGTAGACTCGAGATTCTTGATTCATTGTGATTGGTTTGGCAGCAAAGTGAAAGGAAAAGAAGGTCAGGGAGGGAGGGCCCCAGCTTGAATGGATATTGGGGCAGGGCCCAAGGAAAGCCAAGTTCTTTGGGTGTGTCTCCAAGAGGTCATTCTTGCACCCCACATGGGGTGTTTCCTTGTCACTTTATGCAGATCTTGGCTCAGATAGAAGTTTAAGTAGGTTGAACTGACCAAATGGAATGACAGAAACAAAGGAAATAATGAGTTGAATATCCACACCAAATAAGTCTATCTAAAAGGGGCTCACAGAAAGATAATCTTCTCCCCTGGAATTCAGAAACTGGCTTGGGAGAGATGTGAGATGAGCCTCTCAAAGTCTAAGTTGACAAAAAGGTATTGGGCATCCATCTGGCTCAGTCTCTATTTCCTTTTTCATCTCCAAGAACCCTGAACTTCTACTGCCTCAGGCTACCCAAAGTCCCTTAGTTACTCTCGGCCTTTAGGATTTATCCCTGGAGTCCACATCCTCTGATTTATCCTCCCCCTCCAGACTCTACCCTTAAAACTACCCCCTCCCATGTGACTGTTTTCAGGAGTGAGGGGTCAGAAGAGACACCCCAGTTTATACATTTTACTTTAAGAAAGACAGGGGCTGTCAGGTTTCCCTCACCGAGGACCTCTTGAATCAGTTTTCCCACACAGTGATGATGAATCCAATCAGCAAAAATCTGGGACATACCACCCCTCCTAGCCACCAAGATCCAACACTTCTTACGTTCTTGCTCTCCCTGTCCTGCTTACTAGAAATGTGAGTCTATTTTCACGTGTAAGTAGAAGTCAGTGTAAGTAGAAGATGTGTCTGTCAGGATTTACTGGGAGTCATTATTCAGTGTTGACATGAATTTGTGAAAAAAGAACCCATGTGGCAGGTTTTGTGGCTTGCTTTTTTTTTTTTTTTTTTTTAATGAGATGGACAATTAGGTGCAGACACAAGAAGAGACAAAGAGACTCAGGGAAACGGTGTATTCTACTCACAAGTCTTAGAGAGGTGCAGTCACTGCGTGACAAGAGGGTGCTACATGGGAGGCAGCACCATGGGAGAGCGCCCAACCAGGCAGAGAGGGAGCAAGGACCCAGGGGCTCACTCATGGGGTCAGCATGAAATATACAAGCAAAAGGCACCAGAGGATTTTATCAGTATGTCTGAATGTTATTAGGTCTCAGTCAGGAGAGGACAAGAAGGGAAACTTGTGGCAGGGGCTAAATTTATCACACTAGTATATCTGCTCACCTGGGAGAGATTCTCAAAACTTACAATACAGTACACTGGGGACATTTACTGAACATGCATTTGCCTGGCAAACACTGGGAAACCCCAAGACACCATTCTTTCAGTTAAATTGGTGACAATTTGAAATGGAAGAGAAGGTAAGTGCAAATTTACAGTGGATACTAAATTTTATTTTTTTATTTTTTATTATAAAGATGTGGAGTACAATTCAGAGTTAGGTATACAAACATTGATTATGCAGGTACCCTTGTTGATGAGGTGTGCCCCCCCTCCCCTAGCAGTTTCCCTCAACTGCCAATCCCACCCCCATCCCCTGACAGTTTCCCATTACTACCAAATGCTTTCTTATAGTATTATAATTGTTCAAGGTTCACTTATGAGTGAGAACATATGGTACTCTGTTCTTTGTTTGTGTGATAGGTCACTGAGTATGATCGACTCCAAATCCATCAAATGGATACTAAATTTTAAAAAGTAAAGGGGGCCAGGCACAGTGGCACTCTCCTATAATCCCAGCACTTTGGGAGACCGAAGTGAGAGGATTGCCTGAGATCACAGGTTCGAGACCAGCCTGAGAAACTTGGTGAGACCTCATCTCTACAATAAATCAAAAAATTAGCCAGGCATGGTGGCATGTGCCTGTAGCTCCAGCTACTTGGAAGGCAGAGGTGGAAGGATCACCTGAGCCCAGCAGGTCTAGGCTGCAGTGGCCGTGAGCATGCCACTGCACTCCAGTCTGGGCAACAGAGACTCCAACTCAAAAAAAAAAAAAGTAAAGGGCATGTTATACTGAACATCAATCACCTGCAAGAGTACATAAATGAAGAACAAAGCATATAAGGTCTATGTTTTGTTGCTTTTTGTTACAGGCTACAATTTGTGCCCCCAAAATTCATATGTTGAAATCGTAACTAACTCCCAGTACTTCAAAATGTGACTGTACTTGGAAATAGCATCTTTAAATAGATAATTAAGTTAAAATGAGGTGATTCAAGTGGTCCCTAATCCAATAGGGCCGCTGTCCTTATAAGAAGAAACGATAAAGACACAGACACATATAAAGGAAAAACCATGTGAAGATAAGAAAAAGGTAGTTATCTGCAAGCCCAAGAGACAGGGTCTCAGTAGAAACCAAACCTGGCAACATCTTCACCTTGGACTTCCAGCCTCCAGAATTGTGAGAAAACAAATTCCTAATGATTTAAGCCATGCAGTCTGTGGTACTTTGTTATGACAGCCCTGGCAAACAAACATACTCTCTTGGTCACATGTGATGAATGTCAAACACGTGTTGTTTGGCTACTGATCTGTGGGCCAAAGAGACATTGTGGCTTAGGCAAATCTGTGATGACTCATCCTTGATACTTAGATGAAAGAAACATTCTACTATTGTATCCACAATGTGGCACGTGTGTGCAGTGTGGTTCTGGGCTTTCCTTCATACCTATGGCGCAGTCTTCCACCTTCTGAACATTTTCTACATTAATTTCCACTACCCGAAACTACCATCGAAGTTCAAGGCAATTCACAAGGAAACCAGACAGAATCAAAGCCTAGAGTTTGTGATGAGGGCTAGAGGGCACTGGGAAAGGCACCCTGAGTGCATGGGTACCTACTCTTTATCTCACTTCAGCTCGTCAATGTTTGTAGGCACCTCTCTGTAACCCAAGTCTGAATTTGAGTCTTTGTCTAGGTTATCTGAATACATAGCACTAATGTAGTCAATATCCCCTACTTTTGGAGAATTTACAAGCAGGGCCTATAGGGATTTGCAAATCAATTGAGAATAATATCAGTTTGAAAAAATGAAAACAATGTGCTGGGTGCAATTGAACTATAGAAACAGTTTCTTTAAATTTTGGCCCATCTTTTTCTTTTTGGTACTTTGTCCATCTGAGAAACTAGCTCCTTGAGGCAAAGGGATGAGGAAATTTACTGCACAGACAAGCTGGCTGACCTTCATGTTGCAGGCCACAGCCTCTGCCACGTAACCACACAAGCTTCTGCCTGAAGCCTTCTCTGGCACTGGCCAAAATAGGCCAAGTGTGAAGGAGAGAGAATACATTAAAAAGTCCTCAGGGAACAAAAAGCCACAAGATTCAGTGCGATGAAAATTCAATGCTATGAAGCCATTCCACCTCTTACAGGAATACCCCAACAGATACCACACTTGGCCTAGGAATACAATTCTTTTCACACCCCACTCAAACACATTTCTGCAGTAGGATTTGTTCCATCTATGACTTGACCCCAGCCTCTTAGACCTACTTTTACATCTAGGAGTTTCTCAGTAAACATTGGTTGTGAGGTAATTGTCCAAACATTGCCTTTTTTTTTTTTTTTTCCTCTCTATCTGGCTTCCTTCTGCCCCTTCCTCAGGGAACAGTCTTTGGCCAAGGCTGGTCTCTGAAGGACATGCATATTCCCAATAATGAGTCACCGGGAGCAGATGATCAAGCAAAACTGAAAGCAATTTGGTCATCACGTGTAATCAATGTAATTATAATCCCTGGGTGGGAATCTGATTAATTGATTTGCTTGCTTATAAAATTGTTTGCTGTACTGCCCCGAGGTGTGATTTCTTTCCTCACTGACCCCCCACCATTGGTGCCTCCTCTGAGTTCTAATAAACCAAGGTCTTTCCGTGCTGTAACTTCAGGTGACTTGTTTGGAATATGTAAAGAACCTTATGTGCAAGCCCTTTCAGGTTTGGGGTTCCATGTTACATTGGTAGACATAAAGTCTCTTCTAAAAATGTTTAAAGCTTCTAAAGACTACTCATGATCTGAGCCATGAAATATCATTTGTCTTTCAGTTTGTATCTTCAAAGTGAATGGTGATTATTGGAGATTATCTAATTAATTAGATAAACAATAGTCTAGTTTTCTCTCCAGGTATAAAAGAAACATAGATCTTACACAAATAATCATTTTCCATCAGGAATAGACTCTCCTGTCTGGCAAAAGGACACAGATTAGATGATGCCTCAAGACTCCTCAGGCTTATGAGTTCAAAAAATGGAAAGGAAAGAAAAAACCATAAATCGTAGTTTATTAAGTAAGTTCTGAAATTAATTGGGAAACAAAACGGTAAGCCTTAACAATACCCCAACCACAGCTAAATTAATTGAGACAAAAAGCAAAAAACAATTCATTTGAAAACAAGCAGCAGGACCCAAAGCTAACACAAGAAAGCCAAGATAATAACAATAAATTCCATGTACACTGATGCCCACTCAGTTCAATGTGATGGTATTAATTTTGTAGTTAGGAAAGTGAGAAAGCCAAACTAATAATACCAAAGTTCCAGATGTTCACTGTTGGCTGAATTTATGGGGGGGGGCGGCGGGGATAGCCCATTGAGAAGGGATACAACTCTGCACTCCAGGCAAGAAGCAGATGACGACCCCAGGAGTAGATGGAAATCTAAAGCAAATGTAGTCACCCATTTTGGTAATATATATGTTTCTTAAATTTTGTTTGAATTGGTTCTTTGTGAACAAAACAGGATTTTGAATGTATTGGGGTAATTTGTCTATCTGTAAAGGAAACTTCGACCCCCAAATCAAATTGTAGAGAGAAGTCAGACTTCCAAGCATTCTATTTGTTAACAGGAGGTCATGGACAACAGAGGCAGGAAAGGTGTTCTCAGGGTCTTTCACTTGCTTTCCATTACTACCTATTCACCAAAGCCCTTCTAAGAGAAACTAAGATTTTCTAGGATGTAAAACATGGTCAAAACAAAATAAATGTAAACCTTTAATGAGACATTTTTATTTTATTAGGAAATTTAGAAAATAGCTGTTGACAAATAGGAATACAAGATCAACAAGAAGCAGAGAAAAGCACATCAATGGAAAGGAAATAATCACATACATCAAAAAGCACGTTGGGACTCATAATCCCCTTTGACTAAGCTCAGCGACATGGACTCTTCTGTAGGAGGTAGGTTGTGCTCATGTCTTTGCTTTGGCTGTTTGCAATGTGACAGGAAACATGTAGGATGCGAAGCCTGGGAACACCCATTGCAGAAAAGACAGGATCTCAGAATCTGGGTGCAAAGTCACAGCCCAAGAGGATAAGTACCTGAATACCCAGAGGACAGATGAGGCAGGTAAGTGGGGTGAAGGAAAGTCCCCAGCCTCTCCTGCCCAGGGACCGAGGCCAGGACAGCCTGCCTAGCAGCAGCACTGCCTCTTGCAGCAACATTTCTGCTGGCAGCAGCACTTCTGCTGGCAACAGCCCTTCCCACAGCCGCAGCCACACGAGCCACAGCCGCAGGTGCGGCAGCAGCAGACCACGGGCGTGCTGCAGCAGCCCCCACAGCAGCCACGGCAGCAGGGGCAGCAGTTGGAGCAGCAGCCCACCCGGTAGCACCTGCAGCTGGTGCAGCTGCCGCAGCCACCACAACCACCACCACAGCCACCGCAGCCGCCACAGCCACCACAGCCGCCACAACCACCACCACAGCCACCGCAGCCGCCACAGCCACCACAGCCGCCACCGCAGCCACCACAACCACAGCAACCCATGGCAGTCAGTAGAGAGGACTCAGGTGAAGTGAGGAGGGAGAACTCAGGAGAGGTGAGAGAGATCTGATGCCTCCTTCTGCTGGGGGAGGCCCTTATATACCAATTCAGGGAAGAATGTTGACCTAAGACTCAGTGCCATTTCCCTGTTGTTTATGCAAATATCCATAGCAGAATCTCACATGGCCTCTGGGCACATCCTTAACATGTCCTTCTGACTTAAAAACTTGCTAAATTTAGCTTTTGCTTGTCTTTTAAAAACCATCTTTAATATAGAACAGAAAACAACTAATAAGTTTCTCTCTCTCTCTCTCTCTTTTTTTTGTCAGTTGTAAAAGTTGGAATGGGAGTAAAGTTCCCCTCAGCTACCTCTATATGTTTCAGTTGTATCTGCCCAAAACAAAGATTTTTCATTCCAACATCATTTGCAACGATTCATCACCTTGTAAAACATCCCTTTAGATGGAGGAAACATTTTGAAAATTAACAGGGAAAAAATTACCCCGGGTTACATTATTTCATCCTCCTCTGGCAGAGTTCGATGGTTTTTCTTTGCTCTGTAACATAAGTTTGAACTCTCTGAGTCAGAGAAAGAGGATCCTGCATTATGAGGGTTATGACAGAGCATTCTTAGTGTCATGCCAGATGACAAGCACGTCCTGAGCACAGCGTTCCCAAGTCACTTACTTAAAGGAAGAGGCTTCTGCTTGAAAAACTTGCTAAATTTAGCTATTACCTGTTTTTTTAAAGCCAACTTTAATACAGAACAGCAAACAACTAACAAGTCCCCTTTTTTTGGCTACTGTAAAAGTCAGAGATGGGATTGCAGTTCCCCTCAGCTACTTTTACATTTTTCAGTTGTATCTGCCCAAAACAATGATTTTTTTGTTCCTACATCATTTAAAATTATGCATTACCTTGTAAAACATCCTGTTAGATGTCATCAGCCTTTTTAAAAAATAGAGATGACATCTTGCTATATTGCTCAGGCTGGTCTCGAACTCTGGGGCTCAAGTAATTCTCCCACCTCAGCCTCCAGTGCTAGGATTACAGGTGTGAGCCACCACCATGTCCAAACTTAGCCTATTTAAGAAGAAGGACAAACCTGAAGGCATGCTTCTGACCGTTGCCTGGTACCTGAGCCAGTCTCCCAGGGAATGCTTACTTGAAGTAATTAGTTCCAGTTGGCCATCCCTACACAGACTACTCTATCCTATCAAAGGTAAATAGCGAAGGCAATCAATGAAGTTTCTGGTCTTGTCTGCCATTTTTCAGAATATAGTGCTCTTATCAGTCATCTGAGACCAACCTAAGCAGCACAAGACAAGGAAAAACCCAGGAGTCTTCTCAGCTTCCTGCAGGACCCTGAGTTGGAAGAACTTTTAATTCTCCTATGCAATGGTAAATTTTATCAACTTGACTGGATAAGGGATGCCTAGATAGTTGATAAAATATTACTTCTGGTTGTGTCTATTAGGGTGTTTTTAGAAGAAACTAGCATCCGAATAAGTGGATTGGAGTTTGTTTTTGTTTTTTGAGTCGGAGTTTCACTCTGTCACCCAGGCTGGAGGGCAGTGCCTGCTGGGGCTTAGGCAGTCCTTCCATCTCAGCCTTCCAAGTAACTGGAGCTACAGGCACATACCAACAAACCCAGCTAATTTTTTGATTTATTGTACAGATGAAGTCTCACCAAGTTGCCCAGACTGGTCTCGAACCCTTGGGCTCAGGTAATCCTCTCACCTTAGTCTCCCAAAGGGCTGGGATTATAGGCATGAACCACCATGCTCAGCCAACTGAAGTTAAAAAAAAAAAAAGGATCACCTTCACCAACATGGGAGGGCACTGCTATGGTCTGAATGTATCGCCCAAAGTCATATGTTGGAAACCTAATCCCAGTGCAACAGTGTTGGGAGGTGGGGCCTACGAAGAGGTGTTTAGGTTATGAGGGCTGTGACCTCATGTGTGGATTAATGCCACTATAAAATAGCTTGTGAAAGCAGGCTCACCCTCTTCTGCTCTTTGCCATGAAGGCTGCTTAGCTCATCTCTACCTTCTTCCTTTCCCTTCCACCATATTAGGATGCAGCAAGAAGCTCTGACTAGATGCCAGTACTATAAGCTTGGATTTCCCAGCCTCCAGGACTGTGAGAGAATAAATTTCTGTTCTTTATAAATTACTCAGTCTCAAGTACTGTTATAGCACAAAGAAATAGACTAAGTCAGACATCATCCAATTCACTGAGGTCCAAAATAAAACAAAAAGACAGGAAGGAAGACTTCTCCCTCTCTCTTCTTAAGCTTCAATATCCTTCTTCTCTTGCCCTCAGACATCAGTCACTAATTGTTGGGCCTTTGGACTCAAGACTTTGGGCCTTCAGACACCATTGCCTTTCCTGGTTCTGCAGCTAGCAGACAGCAGATCATGGGACTTCTCGGCCTCCGTAATCACATGTGCCAATTTCCATAATAAATCTCCTCTATATCTATTTATATATCCTATTGGTTCTATTTCTCTGGAGAACCCTGAAAAATACATCCTGGAATCATGTTGTGATCTGATCCTTAACAGAGGGCTTTCTTCAGGTTACTTTTTAGTTACTATATAAGAAGTCATTCAAAAAAATGTAAGACCTTTATTAACAGGTGCTTGTAGTTAGTTGCCTTTTTTTTAATTGGCAGCAGATACTTTCACTGTTCTCCTGCCCATTGTGCCCTTCACAATGTATCTTTCCTTGAATAAATCTACCTTTCCTAGTTAAAATAAATGAGTTCTAAATTTTTATCACAAGTTAAAAATGAAGTTACTAAACAATCTCAGCTTGACCAGATATAAAACCATTTTTAAACCTTTAAAGGAATATTGAGAAAAACCAGGCTTTAAAAAAAATGTCATTATCAAAAAGAGATGTCTTTACATAAAAATAATAAAAGCCCCGTGCTGCATAGATAATACAGAGAGTCCTAGTTATCTGGACAACAGGCAAAAAGACAAGCACTTAAGGTCTTCAACTCCAACTTTTGTTCATTTCTTATTGCTGGAATTTCACATCCCTTTCTTCTTGTTGGATGACTTAAACTGGATTGTGGCAGAGGTGGTAAGCTGCATTCACGTTGTAAGCCTGGTGAGCCTTGAGCGAGGACCAGTTCTCAGCTGGTAGACTGACTGCATTTATGTCTTTGCCATCTTGTGGTTTAGGGTATTCTGGGCATCTGCCTACAACTGAATTTGTGGTGCATGACGTTGAGGTGGCTTCCGACCTGGGGCTTCATTCCCTTGGCTTTCTATCCTCTTCACTTCTGTTCCCTCCAGGCTGTCTCTGGAGAGCAGGACCCCTGCAGAACCATGGTTTTTTACCCGGTACTTATTCTGCCTCATTGATCTACCTTGTGCTCCTGTGCCCTGGTTGTCAGCACCCTCCATTGCTTCTCCCTGAACAGAAGTATTTGCTCTCTGCTCTTGTTACCAACCAAACTCAGAAATCATAAGGATGACTTCTCTGAGAACACAACTGTATGCTGCTTTTTTTTTTTTTTTGAGTTGGAACCTCACTCTGTTGTCCAGGCTACATTGCAGTGGCACACTCACGGCCACTGCAGCCTCAACCTGCTGGGTTCAGGTGATCCTTCCACCTTGGCCTTCCAAGTAACTGGAACTACAGGCATGTGCCACCATGGCCAGCTAATCTTTTTATTTATTGTAGATACGAGATCTTGCCAAGTTGCCCAGGTTGGTCTTGAACCCCTGGGCTCGAGCAATCCTCTCGCCTCAACCTCCCAAAGTGCTGGGATTGCAGGCAGAAGCCACCGTGCCCAACCTGTGTGCTGTTTTTCAAACCAGTAAGAGAATGAAGTGACTTAGCACCATGGTCCTCTTGTACGCCAAGAACTGCCTACACCTACCTGGCTTTAGTCACCACATTTCAGGGATGGGGTCCTGTGTAAAACAGTCTGTTCGTTTCTGGTTGACACTTTTTCTCCTCATTTGGAATTTTTAATAATTTCCTGTGACTGCTTTGTCGTTTCTTCCCCTTTATTCCAAAGTAGACAGAAGAGTTAAAATGTCTTAATAACTATACTAGAAAACACACAAAGAACAGCATTTCTCCATGCCTTCATCTGGTATACATTTTTTCCCAATTTTCTAATCTCTAGAATTTGTCTGTTTTTATTTAAAGGGCCCATGAACTTCTACTACAATGGACCTTAATGCCTTTTCATCATTAAACTTGGGAGAAGCTGTGTTCAATTTCATCAATAGTTCTTGGATTGTCCTTCTTTTAGGATAAAGTGACAGGACACTGTGAGAACATAACAAAGTAAATTCATAGACTCAGTCTGGTAAGGAATGCATGTAAGGAAATTTCAATATAAACAACTGAAACAAGAATTGCAATAATCCTACAGATTGACTTTCTTAAACGTACAGGGAAAAATAAGTCAATTCTGAGTATATGAGGGAGAAAGAGAATTGGGAAGCCTATGACAGGACTATCTAGCACAGAAAAGAGCTTTCCTTATAAGAAAGATTGGAGAGAGAAGCCGGGCGCAGTGACTCACGCATGTAATCTCACCATTTTGGGAGGCTGAGGCAAAAGGATTGCTTGAGCCCAGAAGTTCGAGACCTGCCTAGGCAACATAGCAAGACCTCATCTCTACAAAAAAATCAGCAGGTGTGGTGGTGGTGCATGCCTGTATCCTAGCTACTTGGGAGCTTGAGCACAGGTAGTTGAAGCTGTGGTGAGCCATAATCATGCCACTGTACTCCAAGCTGAGTGACAGAGCAAGACTCTGACTCAGAAGAAAGAAAAAAGGTTGGAGAAGAAAATGTGAAGAGTGATCAGGCAGCACCTACTATAAGACTTCTGGATGGATCTTACAAAGGTAAGACTTGGGGCAGATACGGAAGGCCATAAATAGAGTCACACACAGAAACACAGGTAGAGGCAAAATGTAAAAATAATTGAGTACCAAGCTGAAGAGGCATGGGAGGTTTGGAAGTCTGTGGAACTGTGATTC